ATATATTATTTTAATCGTTCTGAGAATTATTAATTTACTGGTCAAACTAGCCAGTAATATGACTTTTGGGCTATTATTAACCACCTATAAAAATTGCTATCTTGGATCTATAAAAAATTAAAAATTGCAATCACAGTTCTCACTAGATATATTAACACGTGTGCTATTTGAAATTATTATCAAAAAATGAAATATCATTTCCATATGCAGTGATTATTCATACTGAATAATATTATTTTTCTAAAGTAAACTTGAGAGTACTGAAAATTTTTTTATGGTTGCTGCACAAGTGATTTGTTTGTTTTATCTTGTAAGTGATTGTTCAAAGAGGTCACAACAGTTAACGGCGGGCAATTTCACTTTAGAATATCGTGCTTTCACAAGACTCAATCAGTTAATAAATTTTCCTTTATGCAATTTTATTGTTCTGAATAGTTACTACAATAAAGGAGAGTGGAGGTATACTGTTGGGGGAATGGGGGACATCTTTAAATTTTGTTGTTCTTGACAGAAATTTTCTTTATTTCTTATTATTTTTGTTCTTTTATTTTGTTATTTTCTCTATTTAATTATTTTAAATTAAACTAAGGGTCAATAATCATTTTATTCAAAATTTGACCTTTTTAACCTTCTAAATAATGGTTTCAGCACAAAAGGGCATCGGATGCAAACCTTTGAAAGGTTTTAATCCCAAATGCTAGAAATCGAAGTTCAGTACCATTGCCACAAGGTTTAAAGGTTTGAGATCCGGTGTTATTTACCTAAAGTTTCATTCATTAATAGAGCTATGCTATGTGCACAGAAATAATTCATATGAATTTTTTTACAGTGAACATATAGCGGTATTTCATTGGAAGTTGAAAAAAAAAACATAGATTCATGCAGGAGCTGTCAGCTCTGCACATGTAGAAGGTCTATAAACTATTCCCTTGTACAAGGGGAAATGTCCTCATTAATCACTTGTTTATTAGGTGCAATTTAATCTCTGTTTGATTTTTTTAAAAAAATAGATTTTTGTAGATTCTGATAAAAGTTGTTGGTTTATGAAGTGTGTGCAGTTTTAAAAAATGGGGGTCAAATATGGACTTAACTTCATTTATAAAAAGATTATGTAAATTGGGTTAAATGCACTAACAACCATTATACTTTTCATAATGTTTATTATTGATAATTGAACTTTCAATTGTTTCCAGGTCACTAAACTTACTAAATCGTTACGTCATTCGTCACTCCATCACCGAAAGTTAAAAAAAATAGATATAATAGATATTAAGGGATATTCATAAATGGCGCATTTGATCGTTAGTTTACGTCGTGTTACAAAAGTCCTGTGGTTAGTTATAGACATTGTGATAAATATAGGATCAATAGATAATATTGTAGAAAGTAAAGTTATCAATAAGATATTTAACCTTACTAATCTCTTATGTTTATATTACTTTAATTAAAGGAGATATTATAGTGAGAAAGATAAAGGCAACAAGGCTGATTTTAGGGGATTTTACACAAATAAATCAAAAAACGCAACAATGTCTCACGACATTAGCCTTTTTTTTCCCTCGAAATATTTTTTTTTTCTTATTATTTTTTTTAAAAATATTTGTTGGTACAGTTTGTAACAATGTATTACGCATTTTGTCATTGCCATCACTATGTCTACTTGTAACATTCAATGTTACACTACCTCTGTCATAGCCATCATTTGTACATATCATATTACATCACTGCCACCACCATCACCGTTTATACCACAATGAGTTACACTTAGGGTTGTAAATGGATTGGATATGAATAGGATCTTCATATATCCGATCCGATCTGATAAGAAAATTTATCAGGTCCGATCCGATCCGATAATCTAACAGATATTTAATTGCTAAATTCATATCCGATTTGCAATGTTATCGAATATC